TAGAAAACATAAAATTCTTAATTAATTATGCACGAAAACATTTAGCAAAGTAAAATTCTATGAACATAAATAATTAAGTACATGTATAGGCTCTAGGAGAGCATGCCTCCACATTTATTACTTAACATTGGCCATATTAATCAACATACTCACGGCTGTGATTAACATCATATTCATTCAGTATTCAAGGATAAGTTGTTCAATGATTTATTAAATCAGTATCATGTAAAGAACCTAATGGAGAGGCACATATTATAGTCTTTTAGACTAAGGTATGAATTTGGTCAGGATTAGTGCTGCTAAAACTATTTCACGGTTAAAACAAATAGTGGTGTTTAGCAGACCTAGAACATCTTTAGCAGTGATAGTGGAAAAAAACAATATAGTAGCGGTAGACCCTATAAAAAGCTATAGTGTGCTATTTAGAACCTTGATTGCATGTGACAATCAAAATGATTAATGTACAACAACGAAAACATTTTTGAAGTTTGAATGCCTTAATTTTGGACTGGAGGTAGTACCTCGTCACTAAGGAAAAAATCATTTCTTCTCTACCACTTAGTAGATTGGTTAGAAGTGGATATTGAGAAGGGTTTTAGAATATGTTTTTCAAGTTTATTTGCAGTTTTGTGCTTCTTCTCTATTGGAGTGTTATGTAAAGCTTATGGAAAACCTGTTTTGAGCAAAACAATTCTGAAAGACTATTTTGTTGAAAGCTGCTACTGCTAACAGAATGATCTTTATGATAAAAATTCATCATGCTGGAAGGTAATAATTTTATGCATAAATACTGGTGTTTTCTCACTGCTGTCTAATTTAAGGTTTATTAATGATCCAATGAGGTTAGACAGAACTACGCTGGTTGCTGAATCCTCCTCCCTCAGCAGCACTTGATACTGATAAAACTGAAAGTAATTGACATGTCTTATCGTGGCCACTATTACTCACTTAAATTATCTGTACCCCCAATCCTACAGACCGGTGTTGCTGTCAAACATTGCAAGGAGGGCACTGAGAGCTCTATTTTCTGGTCTTCTATTGGTGGAAAGCAGAGTTATACAAGTAAAAATGCTGCACCTGATGCTGTTATTAGAGAGCCTCATTTGTATACCTTCTCTCTTAGGAATGGTTAGTAGTAGTCAAACCTTCTATTCACAGTGTTTCTCAATCTTACCACATTCTGTTTTTTATAGTGACCCTAATGTTTTATTATCATTTTTTTTTGCTTCAATCGCGATAACATCGTCACCATTTGTCAGGGAAGCTGGAGGTTTGTTGCTGTATTGATTTGATCCAAATTGGTCATGTTCCAATAATCTTGTTTTTTCAAAAAATTCTGAAAGCTCACTTGTACACAGGTTACTGAAGTTTTCAATTTTTCACAAGATGATTTGTTGACCGAAGATACGATGATACTTGATACACACTGTGAGGTTTTTGTTTGGATGGGTCAGTGTGTGGAGACAAAAGAAAAACAGAAAGCATTTGACATTGGCCAGGTAGGTACCAAGTTTAAGTGTTAACCTTTCTGTTTTTGGTTGGATCACTATCGTCCAACTCCTAGCAACGATTGCTTCCCTCCCAGAAATACGTACAACATGCCGTGGCCTTTGAAGGTATTTCTCCTGATGTGCCTCTCTATAAAGTCAATGAAGGGAATGAACCTTGCTTCTTCAGGACATACTTCTCCTGGGATAACACACGATCCGTGGTATGCTCTTAGATATTTACTTCTGTATTTCACAAGTTCAGCTTTTCATTCTAACTATGTTCCATTTATTATCTATTTGTATGGGATAGCTGATATTGTGAAGGTTTACCTTTTTTCACTTAATGGACTTTTCTCATATGTCCAATATTCGGCATACCATTTTTCTTTGCTTGCGGTTAAGCTGATACGTGTCATTCTTGAAACAGATTCATGGAAACTCTTTTGAGAAGAAACTTTCAGTTCTTTTTGGAATGCGTTCAGAGGTAAGTTCACTTTTGCTATTCAATTTACAAAGAATGATACATGTTGTTTTCCTTCTTTTTTTTCCTGCTTCATGCCTTTTTAACTGCTTCCAGGGTGGAAATAAGGGCTCATCAGGTGATGGTGGGCCAACTCAAAGGGCATCAGCCTTGGCAGCTCTTTCATCTGCATTGAATCCATCGTCGCAAGGAAAACAGGTACTGCTAATAATTTCCTTCCCTCCGTTACAAAAAAAAAGTTTCCTTCCCGTTTTTCTTATCTGCTAACCACCAAATCCTGTGGCTTTTCAGTCAGACGAGAGGCCCACAAGCTCATCAGGTGACAGCGAGCATACTCAGCGTGCTTCAGCAATCGCTGCCTTGTCCTCTTCCCTTAATACATCGTCAAAACCCAGCAGCACACAATCTCATTCAGGCCAAGGGTCTCAAAGAGCCGCTGCTGTTGCAGCACTGTCCAATGTTTTGACTGCAGAGGGATCTCACAGTCCCCGCCACAGTAGGTCGTCTCCAACAGCAGGTTAGACTTGCCAGCCTAAATTTGATCTGAAGTTTCACCTTTTCTTTAGGAAGATAACAAAACTAGAAGCGTGTCTCAAGCTCCCACTGATATTGTCGTTGTGATGCTAGTAATTCTGGAAAATAATATTGGATATTTTTAGCACCGGCATGTTGCATCACTTTGTTTTTGTAGAAATAGTCAAATCGAGTCCTTTTGGTTTTGCTCTGGAAGAGTAAAATGGACCTGGGATGTGTTTAAGTTCGTTAACTGTGTTTACTTGAGTTTTACTCATCAATAATGAATAGGATTCGCTTAGTAACTGCAAGAAAGTAGATGAAGATGAACCCAGGAGAATTCTGTGATTAATTTTTTACCCCTTAGCTTGATGGCAAACGTTGATGATACCTTCACTTGATGCAGATGCTGAGAAGACTGAATTAGCTCCTGCTTCTCCTCATCAGTTAGAAGCAGGGCATGAAGATGTCCGAACAGAACCTGATGTCTCACAGGAACAAACTGCTAACGAAAATGGAGGCCAGACGACCTTTAGCTATGAACGCTTGATATCAAAGTCCACTGACCCTGTTAGTGGGATAGACTACAAGCGCAGGGAGGTTTGTGACTCCCACTGCATCCTTGAAAAAAGTTCTCCCTCTTCTATTACCTATTTCCTTGTGAAAGGGCTGAGTATTTGTCATAATTATACATGAAACTTTCTGTGCATTTTATTTAAATCTAGAACAATTTAGGAGGACTGGTGGATTTATTTATACTAGGAAGAAAATAGGCTCCTAAGTTCGCCTCAACTAAGGCCCAGGCGCTTAGCATTTACTTCAAAATTTCCATTTACTGGATCGGTTTTCCTCTCCCTGTAGGACATGCTAGATAGAACTTTTTTGCTTGTAAACATTTATAGGCAAGCTTACTCACCATAAAGAGTAAATAGTTAAGTTTGGAAATTTATTATAACTTTGCTTCAAGGTTCTATTTCTGAGGTAACTTCTGGTTACTAATATCTCAGACTTCCAATTTGGAACATACCAGTCAGGATTGTAGGCGTTTTGCCGCAGTTGCTGTTAGTCATGAAGAACATGAGGTGTGGAAGGTTATTTGGAAAAATAAACAAACTGATCTAGACAAGGAGAACAAATGAAATGGTCAAGATTTGATCAGAACCCCAGCCAAATTCTTCTGTTAGAACTGCTGAAAATGGAATCGTTCTACGCTTTCAGTTTCATACATATTTATGATTTAACAATGCTCACCAAGATAATGATGCTCTTAATAATTTGTAGGCCTTCGTTAGTTCCTTCTGAAATGATTCCCTGAGTACCTCAACCTGCAGTTCTTCTTTGCAACAGAAGCAGGAATAGTGACCATTTCTCTAATTGAAGTACAATGATTAAGCTGGGTTTATTACAAATGCAACTAAATTGATGGCGTTTTTTTAATCATTTTTGTTTCTCATTGGAATATCTATTACAATTTATTGATGGCAGCCTCTTCTGCACCTCATGTTTATGGATTCCAAAGGCTAAGTTCACTTTGCTTCTGCAGACATATTTGGTGGACAGTGAATTCGAGACCGTATTTGGTATGACTAAAGAGGAATTCTACCAGCAGCCAAGGTGGAAGCAAGAGTTGCAGAAAAAGAAAGCCGATCTTTTCTGAAACACGGATGGCTATGAATAAAGCCCTTCTGTTGCAGAGAGTCACGCGTTCCTATTTTCCTCTCCAAGGAGAGTCCACGCTGTCTGGCATTCTGCATTCTCATCATTTTTGTTCCACGGATGATCAGCAGCAGCTTTATCCGTGACTTGTATAGTCTACTCTTTATCTGCACATGGTTTGGGCGCGTTATATAGGTCCACGGGCCATATTATTCCCTAGACCCTAGCCCCTCCATTATTCTGAGGTCGCTCTGGATGTTGACCTTTCACATGTTTCTTTCTTATTTTATTAAAAACAAATTGGTGCAAATGGCATTACTAGTGAGATTTTTGTAAGTAATGATGCATTGGCACCAAGGTTTATGGAACATATTTTTGTTATATAAGACTTCAGCTTTTATTGTTCTGGCGGTGTTCTACTGGTTTAATCATCTTTACCGGCTTACCGCTCAGCAGTGCAGCAGTGATCATGGTACTATATGATAGGATTATCAAGTAGGAAGATGATCGACAAGTCAGGTCAGTCGGGTCGGTAGGGATTTGACACCCTAGTCATCTTGGTGGTGTGGATTATCAAGTAGGAAGATGATCGATGAGCTGCAGTTACTATGATCTATTGTAGTTTCTGAATCAATTGCGACTAGACTCTACTAGTAGAAATAACTGAATTTTGCTAGCAGATTTTGTTATTTTCTACTTTCATATATGATGAGGACATTAGGTTATTTTCCCCATGAAATATCTAAGGAGAACTAATAACCAGCAATAATAAGTAGGCTGTGTTTACAAGCTCTCAAGCATGTGCATCACTACAACATTTATTTAATCCGCAGCTAGCATTATCTAGATAGTCAAAACTTCTAAAACTTTCTATAGCACATGGTGCAGATAGCAGCAAATATTGTAATGCCACTGAAAATACAGAGTGTGTCGAACCGGCACTCACTGCGTATCTTCTCTTCTTTCAGCTCACTCTGTGCCTTCAGATACAAATTGCAGGACTCCAGCACCTCGTCATAGTTCCTGCTCCGGTGGCAGCTCAGCGCCTCCTTGAGAAGGAGGAGGCTGCAGCGCCCGTTGAGATGAACACCGCCCATGTCTTCCATCTGCATACTCAGTTCCGTCAGCGCAAGTGTTGAAGGTTCCCCAGCCTCCTCGCTGCCCATGCTTGTCACACGGAATTTCATCAACAGAATGCATTCTGCTACCTGGCAGGGCAGGACCTCCTTTGCCGGAAGGACAGACCCAAACCGTAGAACGAAATCAGTATCCGTTGGCCAGTGCCTCTGCCCACTCAGCGGGTGCCAACTTGTCAGGTTCACTGCTCGCTTCATCTTTCGGTTGACAATGATCCAGCTCAACTTTATGCCATCATTCAGTTCCCTCCATAGCTTCCCGTCTTTCCTTTCTTGCTCCATCGAGGGCACCGATGGTAAGTCATTGATGGTGGATAGGGATACCTCTCCATTATTGTTCTCATTGTTTTCAGCTGAGTGTTGAAACAAGTCTATCCGGAACGGGTAGTTATAGAACCATCCATTGGCACTGTCTGAGTTGGGGATTCCCCATATGACCTTTGAGTAGAGTGCACGGTCTTTGTACCATACATCAATCAGAGATATGAAGTCTGAAGGCAATGAGTTTTCAAGCTCATCCATGTCATCGTAGTAGTAGCAGTCAGACTCGGCCCATTCTTCGGCAAAGAAATTACTTTCATTAGTTTGAACCACAGGGACATCCTTGTTCAATATAAGGGTGAAACAATCTGCATAAAACTTCCTGAATCCACCAACGGAAACAATTAAGCTCCTGACATCATCTCGTCTCGTTGATGGCCACAGAGATGTGCAAGCATTTTCCCACAGATCCTCTTCATTTGATATGGCACGGAAATCAGCGCAGGCACAGCCTGCTCTTGCCAGAGCTGCAGCATCGAGACGCTTGAGTATGTCGTAGAAAAGGTCGGCACTCAGCGATGCCATGATCACAGCCTGCTGCGCAGTTGCAGCTAAAAGAGATGGGACCTAATCAACCTGGAGCATAACAAAACAGGACTTTGGTTAGTTTCTTCTCAGTATACCAATTGACATACTATATCAGCAAATCTTCAAAGGCAAAATATGTGGTGTATTGCTGAAATTCTGGGCCAACACTTAAATTTCTTGGAGTCCCAAGGCAGTGGAAGGAAAATAGCGGTGCATAGTAGGCCAAAACGACCAAATTCCCAGATCTGGAAAACTAAGGCATCCAGTCCCAAGCCTGCTCGGTAGCACAAAATCAATAGAATTGTCCTAAAACTTATAGTTGTTATTTCTAATCACAGATACTCTTTCTCCGCTTCTATTGCACTCTGACAATGAACGGAACAAGCATTTTCAATTGGCCAGAGAAGCAATGCTGTGGTTACTCCATTGACGCCCAACAAAAGAACTGAGCACGTGCTTAATAATGAGAGAAGAAATCATGGGCAGGAAACTAAATCTGAACCAGAACCCCACGCCCAACATCCGGACCCCCCCCCCCCAAAAAAAAAACCCCACAGATCTATGGTTACAGACTTACAGCCGCAGGAGGAGCAATAAGCATCGAATAAGGAAGGAGGTCGAAAGCACAGCAACATCCTCCGGAGGGGAAGAGGGAGACGAGAGACTAGGCAGGCTCACCTCAAGAATCAAGATTCATCAGGTGGATGAGATAGAGACGACTGACTGACTGACTATTCAGTATTCAGCAGCACAAGGTGGCGTCAGGGTTTAAATAAGGACAGGCCCCAGCTGTCCCCAGGTCGCATCGCATCGTGAGTAACGTCGCCGGATAAGCGTAGGCCGGACCATGGTGTACGCGGGGTCGCGGGCGTACCAACGAGCCACGCGACGGCCGGCCGGCCGGCCTGCCGGCTGCGCGGCGTTGTGGTCTCTTTCGCAGCCTCCGCGGTGTAGGACGACCGGGTCTAGTCTAGAGAGGGAGGAGCCTGTGCCGATCTGCCAGCGCACACCTTTTTTTTTTCTTGGGGTGCCGGCGCACAGTTGGCCGATGATGGCGCTGTTCGCTTGTGATTTTTTTTTTATTCTTTTAACATTTTTTTTAAACTATTTTCAAATACACGACACTGTTTTTTTTATTTTTAAAACTAACAGTTTTGGCCGCGCCTATTCGGCGCGGCGAAATCACGTTGCCACGCCATGCATGAAGCGCGGTAGGAGTGATGACGTGGCAGCGACTAGGGCCGCTTAACGCTGACGTGGTCGGGGCTGCCGCGCCGCGGATTTGGGCGTGGCACTTACGCGTCATGGAGGCTGGCGCGGCAATGCTCCCGCCGGCCACAGCACTTCACGTGACCGACCGCTCTCTGCAGCACGCTTTCCCTATTTTGTTCAGCCACGCACGCGTGCGTCAGGCAACAAAGGGCACCCAAGATTCTCCGATGCGCCGGTCGGGTCGGTAACGCAGAACGCTACCCGCCGCCCCGCCTCGCCGGTCGCCCAAAGACTTCTCTCTCTCTCTCCGGGTCACGCCTCATGGAGGAGCGTGCAGTGCGTGTGTTACTCGTGATTTTTACCAAAACCTGTCATCAGAATTACGTATATTATTACCAGTGTTAGGACGACACCAGTACCATGCATCGGCGCACTAATCTTTTTTTGTACTAAGTAGCATGCCCGTGCGTTACTACGGGACAACTAAACTTTTATTCTAAAAACATAGAAATCGCACGATAAAATACCAATACTGTGAAATTAAATACCGACATTAAAGTGACATTTAATCCAAAAGACAAAGTTCATATAATTAACACAGTCAAGAAAACAGCCAACGTTAAGAAATGTGCAATATATATGAAAACTTTCACAGATAGTAGCCCACATCTTTAAATACATGGAAACAGCCAATGTTTAAAAAATATGCAATATATATAGTTTAGCAGCTCTTCCTGGAACCTTCGCGTAGTTGCACGGGCTAATGAGCTATAATAACATATATGTGTACTTATCAAACAGTAGAATACACAGATATATTAGAAGTCGTAAACACGGGCACTGCAACAAAGGGACCAACTCCATTAAATCATGGTACAAAGCGTCCTTCATCTTGTTGGCACTTGAGGGTGGTGAAGGTCTCCATCTCATCCTGCCACACAGAAATAGGAAAAATGATTTATTGAAGTTTAATTCATATATCAAAGAAACTGGAAAAATGATTTATTGAAGTTTAGTTCATATATCAACCACTCAGCAAGAAAAAATGCACGGTGAGAACTGAAAACTATCTCCACTATTATGCACCTGACACTCCTATAGGAACCATATCAAAGCCATGCGAGCATACAGTCCAGATCATTCCAGCCCCGCGCAGGTTCAACGTCCTATTGGAGAAGTTTACTAATATCTTAAGGCAGTAAAATAGATTCACTTAATTTCAGTCTTAGAAGAAGCATAAAATGAAATGCAATATTAAGAACGAGGCACGTATATGCTAATATAGGATTATATGCCTTTCTCACGAGAAGCATTAACTGATGTCATCATATGTTTACACTACAGCACAATCATGCTAAGATGGGCTACTTTTTAGAAGCGAAATGGTTGTACATATGTGTGATGATCTTCAGATACAAGGTAGCACCGCATGTTAAACGCACGCAATGAACAGCGCGGTCATGCTCAGATGGGTTACTTTGAGAAGCAACACTGCTCCATGTGTGCGTGATGATCTTGAGATACAAGGTACTAAATGTCAAACACAAAGCAATGAACACCGGAGAAACTAGTATATCTCATTCCCTCTTCTCAGCATTAACAACGTGCCATCTGAGATCATCAATTTATCAGTGATCTGTTCCAAGAGAGGAAGCCTTCATCGTTGGAGGATTCTGTTGGTGAGACCTCATCTTTTGAAAAGCCAGTAAATAATAAAATATTTGGTGCACTCTGGATCACTGCTGAAAGAATTATAGTGCCTTTGACCCCATGCTTAATGACTCCTGCAAGAAAGAATGGTACCAATTATGTGGGATGCATTGACACAATGGCTGCTGAGACTGTCCAAGGAATAGGAATTATGCAATGATCAGTAAAATTGTATCATGACATCCCAAAATAATATGGAGAAGATAGCAAAGAAGAGATCAAACACATTTATTACATACAAGGCCTCTGATTATCGGGAACTTTTCATCAGCTGCTTCAACATCACCAAACACGACCCTCTCTGATTGGAAAGGGCCACTCTTGTGCTTTGAGTTTGAGCTTGGCCAATCACGTCATCAATCATGTGATCAAACAAAGATAGTAAATTAATACCTTGAGCAGAGTGCCAGACATAGAGTTTTGCAGTTTGGCAACCTATCTCTTTTTCACTCTTGATTTTAGAATTCATGAAAATGGCATAATGCTGCTTCAGTGGGTAGTATAGGATAATTGGGCTTTCGCAAGTTACCCACATTAGATCAAGTTCGATTCAAGGATGTTCTAGTTCACACGAGATCATCGGCATCAGCCAAAGATGAACATTGAACGTATTAAACTAATTTCTCCAGAGCTCCGCTAAGCAATATAATTATACCCAAACCACCAGGCAACCATAAATAAATAAATAAGCAAAATGTAAACCAGCGCAACATTATCTATCTCAATTGTTATGATGCTTCCATGAATGGAAGCCTTCTCCCTGAGCAAAGGCGCCTTTGGCGACATGCCGCCAGTGGCCTGATCAGAATTCCACATTCCAGTGTTCAGCGAGGCACGCACAAAACATACAGCAACAATGGCATGTACACTACAACAGTTGAAGAGTTTCTGATAGGAAGCGAACCATGTACTCGGTGATGTCATCGCGCACAGAGCTAAGAAGATCGACACGACAATTACAAGCGACACGATTGAATTATTAGCGCTAATGCAATAGCATATATATCAAGACAACAGGTGTTCAGTTTGGTAAAAATCCTAACTGAAGTTCAGGCTTAACATGAATTCAGAAGCTCGGAATCTACAAGTAATTGTATGGGGGTTCATTAGAGTACATCTCTCTAGCTTTTAAAGTTCTGCAGTAAAAGTATAGATACTATGCATAACCTTGTCGATCACTGATGAAATCAACCTTTAACTTCGGATGTAAATTTCTTACCGAAAGATGATTATATTTTCTGACCAAGTGATCATGAAACAATCATTTTATTCAGCTTTAGTACTCTCAACAGAATTGACATTTAAAAAAAACATATCTGACACTTTAATTTGTCGCTTTGCACTAATCAAGAATGATTTCACCAATAAAATCAACACTTAACTCCTCTGAATGCTTTCATAGCTGATTTATAGAATGCTGTAATACTTAGCAGAAATATCAAATATTCAGATTCTTTGAGCTGGGACTATCTATAGAGTGTGCATTTTTCCTCACTTCCGGTTTTCGCATCAACTTACTATTCTATAGTCCTTATTTAATTTCAATTCACTATATCTGCAGGAGTTGAAAAGAGAAAGGGTTTATATCAAATGCACACCCAAAAAAATTGTATGCATGGTTTAGGAAGCTGCAAACCTCTAGGTGTTGATTTTTAGAAGAAAACTTACAAGGTACCAACCCGTTCATAGTCTGTGCTTCCACCGTTGCTTTTACTATGACACCTAACAAGTACTATCTTAAGCAATCAAGTATGAGAAAAAAGAAGGAATCAGATCATCATCACTACTATTGGCAGATAAAACATTCACAGTCGTGAGGAGTTCAAAAGAGAAACATGGTTTCACCGAAAAAACTCAACCTCATACGGAGTGTCTTAACATCTGCAACCTCCAGTTTTCTACAATAATTGACTTTTGAAATCATGATACGAAACAAAAGGAACATTATGAGGCCAAACAAACATGATGCCAAATAGCAAGTAGGTAAGAGGCCATCAATACATATCAGCGATGGAAGATTTCTGATTTTAGAGTCAGAGTCGCATTGCAAAATCAAACCTAGACAATAGTTCGAT